GAAGATAAACACCACATGACCGATCCGATTTAGTTTTTTTCTTTCTTTCTCAAGGAACATCCATTCATCTTGCTTTCCCACTAAGTCCATAACTTTTTTTGTTTTGTTTCTGCAGAGGTGTCAAGTAGGTACAGATGCCGACCTTAATTACAGCATTGAGAACGTTGTGGTTCTAAGCGCAGTTATCTTTCAATTAATAGTTAATTATGTAAGAAAATGTTTAAAAAATGCAATTATTTTTTAACGATTGTATTTTTTTGTCATTTCTTTCTGAGGTATGACCTGAATTGATATTCTCTTTAATCTAAGTTACTATCTTATAATGAGGTATAATGGCATCATCGTAATTTTAAATGTTATGTGATATGAATCTAATTTTCTTATATGAATCTCATTAAATATAATAAAGTGTATAAATTTCAGTTACAGAAAGGAATTTGGTAAAAAAAATATATATTTGATATAATCTAGAAAATAATTATTATTTCGGAAAGATGAACTCAGACATCCAAGGAAATATTATAGGATTCAATTAAATAACAAATTTGCCATACCATTCCGTTCAGTTATGCCATTAAACAATTATATAATACTCGTATATGAATGTATTTTCATTAACATTTTATGATTTTTATTATTATTGTGTAATCGTGATGTTTTTAAGAAGAGCAATTATTTGACTTCATAAAAGTGGCAAATTTAAATTCACCAACAAATAAGACAAATTTTGTAAGGAAAAATTTTGACTTTTGGTGAAATGACTCTAAGGAGAAAATGTTCCAAAATGTTTTTTTAAGCTATATTCAATTACTAAGTTCAGAACTAAATGGATGATTAAAACCAAAATCTATAAAATAAAAAATTGATGGTTTAGTAAGGACTTGAGGTACATAAGAATTCGACTTAATGTTAATTTGAGTTTAGTTTTATTTTATTTATTTCTTAAATTTAATTTTATTAGCACTTTTATTACTTTCTTCTAATCGTTTAAAATTTTGTTTTGCAACCATAGTTTTGTATAACAATTGTATTAGGCAAGTTGGTCTCAAATACTTGACCCAGGAGTTCCCTTGTCTTCTAGATTAAGTTCAAAATTACAGAGCTACGGAGTTGAATATTGGTATCCGTTAACTCGAAATTGGCAAGATTGTACAACGACGGTCATAAAATACATTTTGGAATGCCGTGGTGGCTCAAGGGATAGAGCACTCGCTACCCAATGAGGTGATCCGGGTTCAAATCCCAGCGATGGCTGGTCGATATGAATTCCGAAAATGGTATGCACTAACCACATTACAGTATGGGTTAAAGTCTCCTTGCCATCAGGTTAACCATGGAAGGTTTTCGTAGTTTTCCTCTCCATGTAACTCAAATGCTGGTTAGTTCCATCAAAAAGTCCTCTACGAAGGCTATAGTTTGGCTACGAAGGCCAATGCTTGATCCAGGAGTTACCTTGATTTCTGGGTTGGGTTAAAAATTAAAGTACTGAATTGGACATGAAAAGTCGTTAACGCAGAATTGCTCCGGCTATTTAACGCCGTTTATAAAATATAAAATGAAACAAAATACACTATGGAAAATGATCCATTTTTTACTTCGTTTCGTTCAATATTCAGATGACTGGATTTATTAATATTTAATTTAATTAAATTTAAATATTTTATTGAATTTCGGAACAATTATTAATTTTTTTGGAAAAGAGCGTTTTATGAAAGACTTGGAAGATAAATCAATATATTAATCAATATGTTTTTAAAACTTTTTTTTATAAGATTAAAAGAAAATATTATTAATTAAAAGAATAAATATCATTAATGCGTTTTTTCACCCAAATCTTTCATTTGTATTTAAATATTTAAGTCGCTCTCGTTATTTGACATTTCGAAATATTTCTCCATAATAACCTCACTATAAGCTGAATCATTCTTGTAATATAATTGTTTAAACAAAAATATAACGTTTAAAACAAAATATGTCATTAGTGTCCGTGCAATATGCTTTTAAAAACGTATGTGATAAAACATATTTCTCATAAATTACATCGTTGGTTATCGTGTAATATTACATGAAAAGTAAAATAACTCTGATGCAAAGATAAGAATTCAGAAAAATACTTCTTCCAAACATTGAGGTTAATTACAAAAGTAGAAACAAAACTACAGCGATAAAGATAATTAAACTATTTTACTTAATATCCCTCTATAACATTCGCGTAGGCTTAATTTTGAAATTCTTTTCCCTTTTAACATGTTTATCAGTGTCGCGCTCGCTTGTTTAAATTATTGGAGTAGGTGGAGTTTAGTTGTCTCCCGCTGAATTCTTATGAAGGATACCAATCATTTATCATTAGAGAATGCACGGAAATAATTGTTGAATACAACTGGTAACGAAAAAACGTATTTATCTACAATTACCCCATGGGATGTTTTGTTATTATGTAAATTAGAAATAATACCTATTTGGATCCATTGTTTTTATTAATTGTCTGTCCGTGACCTTAGATGATATATATTCATTTTTCCCAGATTCGGATGATCGTGATAATGTTTTCCTTCTAATTATATTTGTTCGAGTAAGTCATGATACTTATTATGAAATCTAATCGTGTAATGCGATTATGCTTTTGATAATTTTTGGTTTAAGCAACTACTGGTGTGAAAGTTACTAATAAAATATGATGAGATTATGGCATTATTAAAATGTATAAGACGTACAAAAATAATAAATTGTTTATATCGCTACATAATTGCATATATTTTATAGTATTCGAATATTTATTTTTAAGCGCATGTGCCGACTCATGAAAATTATTTAATGCATTTAAAATTAAGACATTTCCAGGGGATACTATATTATTAAAATATAAAAAATTTTAGTAAATCACAACATCAGAAATTTAGACAACTACTTTACACCAAGTGCACTAGTGAAGCTGCTCTTGAATTCAAATGCTTAATTTCACAAAAAACCAAGAATAGTTTCAGGTGCAGTGAAGCACCCAAAACATACTTTTACAGCACTTGGTGCAAAGTAACCAAATTTTTATTATTCAGTAACACTAAAATTTATAATTACAGTGAGATATGATACACATAAGAGTGGATAAAGCTATTTTTACGGTGCAGCATTATTTGCGATGAGTATAATATTACTTAAAATAAAATTAGTTTGTTAATTAAGCATATATACAGCAGGGAAAGAATATTAGTATGAATTCGAACTAGGTTTAATAAAACCGATGCGGATAAAAATTAATTATTTAAATTATTTAATACAATTGACAGAGTTTTGTAAATCTTCTAATGAGAATAGAATTAGCTTTATTATGCATTATTTTATTCATATCTAAAAACATACATGCCTTTTATAATAGTTTAGTTTGAATGTTCACCATCGCGCGAATCAAAAACTAACTTCCTCCATCTCGTGCTAAATTATAAGCAATCTACCGCTATCGTCTGACGGTTTCTTAACGTACACCAAAATTGGTTAAATAATTTATGAATGGAGTAACAGCATTTATCGCTGATTTAGGCTCTCTCATTTATCGAAGTTATTACTTAACTACTTCTTTTAAAGTTTGTATGAACGCTCAATTCAGTATTTACTTGAAGTAACCCATAATATTTTAAAACCAAATTCGGACACCGCATTTTTTACAGTGTACCAACCGAAATCATTCTACTAAATTGATTCTGAAATCGGTAATTTTATGTATCTCCCTTTACGCAATAATTATAAATCCTTTATTTAGTTAAAAGTTAAGTTCCCCCCCCCCTAATATTGTAACGATCTATCTGAAAGAAAGTTTTACTAAAGGATAGTTTCAAGTTAAACAAATAAGATCTTTGAAGTTTAAGGAAATTAAGAATTTTTCTTTTTTTTAATAAATAGGGGTTTTCATTTTTTTAACTTTAGTTTTTGACAGAATATTTAAATCTATTTGACTTCCATAATAATAATAATTTGCTTTTAAATGCGAGTTATGTTTATATAGTTAGTTATGTTATGTATTTTTTAAAAAAAAGATATTGTTAATTTAAGATTTTTCAGTACTTCTTAGATTTTCATTATAATTTTTTTTTAGTATTAATTCATATTCTTAGAATTTCAGATATTAATTTTGTCCTTAATGTTTAGCATAATGAAATAAATAGCTCCGTAAATAATGTTATATTAATGAAAGTATAAGAACATTGCAGTTATGAAGTGTTAAAATAAATGTTTTAACAAAATAAATCATAAAAAATATTTCTTTTTTTTCCCACGTGGGTTGGAAAGCTGCTCATTGCTGAGTTATTTTTCTCAAGGTAATTTCCGCACTGTAAAAAATTATGGAGTATCGTTGACATCATTTTTGTAATAGAGGTAAACTAGTTACATTAAGTACAGAACTGTAATGATCTTAATTATTTAAGTATAGAACTGTAATTGATTTTTTAACGAAATATTTCAACAATGAAACCAAAAATGATACTAATGCGCAGGAAAACATGAGTTGTTCGTAAACAAATAAACAAAAAGTAAATTAATTAAACTATAACAGCTAAAAAGTAAATAAAATTTGTTAGCTACATGACCCTAAAGAACTTTAGTTTAACTCCTCACCAAATATTTCGTCATCTATACAACATAACTTTTTTCACTGCTCTGTGTTGCCTTTCAGAACTTGCCTTTTCTGAAAAATGAGACTCGTGTTGGCCGATCAATACCACAAACAAGAACCGATTGATCTTTTGATCGCCCTACGTAATTTTTCAAATGAATATGATTTTCAAAACGTTAAAAGTGTTTTTTTAGAAAAAGCTTTTATTAATTCAAATTATTTCTAGTTTTTTTTAAAAAAAATCATACACTTTTAAAAATGCAAGCATTTCTTTATTCTAGATGTTAGATTCAATGGAATGTTTAGCTCTAGCAAGGGTCTTAAAATGATTCAAATAAAAATGAAAAGATTCTGTGGTAAAAAATTAAAAAATTTTACTTTCTTTTCGTTTCAGTTCAACTAAAGTTGACAGAACAAGTACAGCTTTCCAGTGATTCACAAGGTCAAGAGTGAGTACTATTTCATTGTTAGAAACCCTAGGTATCTTAAGTTTGAGTAAAACTAGACTTAATAAGTCTAACGTTTTAAAAGAATTACGACTTACGAATAGACGGTGAAAAATTCTGGATCAAATTGCGGTATAAAGTAATGGCATTTCGGGTGCATCATTTGTTAAATCCATTTTGCTGTAAAATCCCTTTTGTACTGTAAAATATTATACAGTAGTTTTACAAATGTGATTCAGTGGTTTTATTGTATATATTGCAGTAAAAATTACAGTATATAAAATTTTTGTTTCACTATATGTTCCAGTAAAATGAACTCTGAGTACGTTTTACTGTAACTTGATCCGGAATTTTTTTTGCAGTGTAGCAAACGATGATTTGCTAATATTATAAATTTTAGAGAAAAGAAACGAATCAAAAATTTTCTTATAGTTAGAACACATTAAGTGAATCAACTAAGTAAACTTAGGCTGCGAATTCTCAAAATTATTAGAATGCCTCCTTTTTTCTTGCCTTTGATATCAATACTAAATGCTTATCTATTTTTTTTCGTTTCAGTATCTATTTTAAGCAGAAATATTGTTAAATATACATTTTATGAAATCATAAAGTTAAATTTTTATATTTCAAGAGCTTAATCAGTTAATAATTAACTCAACTTTTGTTCTCCCAACGAGACGAACCGGGTTCAAATCCCAGCTATGGCTGGTAGATACAAATTCCTGACCAGCTCGCACTCTAACCACCCGTTGTCATTCTCACCAGTTTTCTCTAAACTTAAAATAAAGGAATAAATATAATAAAAGCATTTGTTAAGCAGATTTATATCATTAGATAAATACATTAGCAGGTAATATTTCGTGATTTGCATAAAAAATTTAGTTGTCAATTTTAAATTGCATTACTTAAAGAAAAGTTATCAGTGAAAACTTAAAAAAAATATTTCACGTATCTATTCCCCGAAGTACTGATAAGTTTTTACGATGTCGTTAAAACAAGTTTCGGAAAATAAATCTCCACAGGAAGTGGCTCTTGATAAACGATGCACTTTTTTACACTTCAAATTTATCTTTAAAATAACATGCGACTTTTGAAGTGTTACTAATTTCTCCCAGGGCACCCTTGTAATATTGTTATTTTTAGCTTTTTCTATGCTACTACTAAAAACAATTTCAAAATACTTCTTTTTAAAAATTAAATATAAATAAATATTCAATTTAATTAATGATTACACGGTATTTTTATTTAACGTGAATTTTTTTGGGGGAAACAAAGTTAAGTTTTGTATGAAAAATGTGAAAAGGCGGAAAATCAAATCTGGAAATAAAACGTCTTTCAAAGTTTTTATTTTTATTCACTTATTTTTTTTATTTTGTTAATTAATCTTACTTAAGTTCTTATCATTACTGTTTCTCTATAATATTATTAATTTTGTTTCATTTGAAATTAGAGCTTCCACTTATCCGGAAAAGTTAAAGTGGTTCTAAGAATGTTTCATTTTTACCTTTCTTTTAAGGACTTAAGTTATTATCAGTAGCTATCACTTTTTTCTTCTTAATTGTAATGTGTCTATTTGAGAAATTTCGTTTGATTTAATGCATGTTATAATTGATAATAAGTAATGGTAGTCATGCATAGTTTACTTCACCTTAATAAAGGGTTGTAATGAAATATTCTCACAATTAAATTTTTTTAATCTGTTCCGTACATATAACATACTTATTAAGTCTTTAAAAAGAGAAATTAATTACATTGAAAAAGTTAGTATATCATTTTACAACAAGGCTATTCACTGCAACAATGCTAACTTCAATATCAAATTTCAACAAGAACTTATGGACGCGACAGGCAAATATAATTCAGTCACTTCTTTATTTCTATCGAACGCTGTCTTTAGTACCAGAATTTTCAAGCACTAAAGACCTCAGCAAAACACGAACAAGCTGTCAACAACATCTATTTACAACTGCATATATTTGATGTGACAATTTAGATATTAATTTAATATCATACGATGGATCGGCTGGCGTCGAGATGTGGCGTCGATTAGAAATAGAAAATTAAAAAGAGAATTTCCACATTATTAAAAAATATTTTTTGAAAAAAATAGCTCCTAATATTAGATTTATAAATTTATTTTATTCTCTGTTCATAATAAAACTGATACTGATAATATTTATTATCAGTGATAATACTGATAATAAATATATTTTGTGTTATTTTTTTTTACTTCCGTTTTTAGCCTTTTACTTGAACGATCAACCCTACGTTCCTAATGCTCAGTTATGACCGCTCTTAATGCATGTGTATTCTTAGAATCCTCACCAAATATAAGAATTAAGTAATGGAAATATCGAAACATGTTTTATTTCCAGATAAAACTAAACATCTCCAAGTTTCATCAGGCAATATCTTAATCGTTTTGATGTTTTTAATCCGTTCTTTCTCACCTTTGATTCTACAGATTTCGATTAAGTTTTAATTTTTTGAGCATTTGATTCTTTTTTTAAAATTTACGAGTGTGCATATTTTTCTGCTTTGTTTTTTTCACGTGTTCTTAAAATATATATTAGGGGCAATGACCACGAAACACCCTGTATATTTAATGTGTGACTGATTTTAAGATTTATTATTATTCAAGAATATATAATCTAGAACTTGTAAAAAATATGAATTTCTCTATACCATGCAATATGAATATCATTATTGCTTAGATTCCATCAATATGATGCATCATTGCATCATATTGCATGAATTTCATACATTCCATCACAAAAGGAACAAATCATTTTCATTACACACCTTAACTATATTCACCATTTTTTTTCTAGAACAAATGGTAAGTTTCAAAGCATTGTTGGCTCTCACCATGCTAAAGATAAAAATGCTACCGCAGCTCAAAAATCCAAAGGACGAATAGAGGCCTCAATTGTACCTATCATAAATACGAATTCTACCAGTCATAAAAACGGCCACGCATCATCTGGACAAGTAAAAGCGGAAGTAAGAATATTAATGCCAGAGCTGACAAAATCCCGAGATCCACATGCAGATGGTTTAATCCGGGCCTCCTCTATCGTAATGGATTATGATGAAGATACGAGAAAATATCTCACGTCTAGAGGTCAGTATCTTCTTGAACTTATAAGGAAACAAAAAAGAATAAGAGAATTCATATTTTCTAAGCAAACAACCATTTATCAACAGGGAGGTATATGATTATTGATCATACTGAATTATAAATATAGGGCGAGAATTACCTTTTTCTTTAGTAGTTCCCCAATTAAATACGGTAACCAAAAAAATCATTAAATTTTAAAACCAGAAGTAAAGAACAACATAAATAAAGTACAGAAATGGACAAGTTAAACAAAAGATCTGGTTGATCCATTTTGTCTACTTCTTTACTTAATTTGTGTTTTATTTACGTTGTTTATTGCTTTAAACAAGAATTTATTTAAACTTTTCGGAATGGGGTCCCATAATAATGCGAAAATTTTTGGGAATCCCATAAGCATTGCTCAAATCTGACAAACGAGAGAAACTGCCAGTTTCTTTACTTTTACTGTAATATACTATTGCAGTTTTACGGCTTTAATTTTTAATTTTAAAACATGTAATTATATATTAACATATTTTTTTAAATTTAAAACATCAAACATATAGAATTATTCGAAAATTTTAATTTGAATAGCAAACTTAAAAATATAATACAATAAAAAAAATGCATAGTATCATTTCGTTTTTTCTCTGTCTGTATATCCTTATCTTTATCTATTTTCAGACACATTCTATAAAAATATTTGGTAATTTTAAAATTAATTTTATACATTAAAGAAATATCAAAAATATTAAAATTTTGTGATGCCTGTTGCAGCTCAATCGCTATCGGGAGCCATGGCTTAAGAAACTTTGCTTTAAATTACGTAGCACACGTATGTTCAATTTACTTTTGGGTATTAAAATAGCAACTCCTTGTGAATGATTTCTCTGGGTGATGACACACGTAAGCATTGGTCGAAACTCATTTTATATCTATCTATCTATCTATCTATCTATCTATCTATCTATCTATCTATATATATAT